AAAATAAACAAGATAGCACACATACCGTCCACCAACAACACATAAATGCTCCTATCGAATTGCAATATTGCTTGACTTATTACATATTTTTTTATTAATTAATTTTTATTTATTTTTTATTTAGAGAGTTACTATTTCCGAACAAGCTCGAATCGTAAGGACAATATTCCTTAGGTTTAAACATTGGAGGTCATCCAAGTGTCCTAAAGTGGTTTTCCACTACTCATTACTCGTTAAAATGAATAACAAGTAAGCGGAGTAGAATCCAATCGATTCGTCTTGCGAGCTCTCATGTATTTTTTTTTTTTTTTATTTATTGTCAAGCATAAAATGCAACTTGATTTTCACCTCATTCAACAATGACTACGTCTTTACCAATCATCACACAATTCAATCGACAAAATTCATTATATGTACGGCTGACAAGAAAAGGTTCAAGGCTCAAACGGGTTACTAGGGAATATAATTTTTCGGACCAAAGAACAAGGCAAAACGAGCTAACAAACAAAACGCCTCAATCATTTTCGCAATTTCAAACTCTAACTGATTCTTTTCAAATAGAGTCAAGGCAAGTTCTAATCATTCGAGAATACGACCAATATCTCTCAAGAAAGAAAAGTATGGATCAAAACCTCACAAGGTAATAAATGTCACTTAAAGCAATCAAGTAAATATCGAGACAATGGTAAATACGTCCGTCATCACAACTTCACAATTTCATCAGACATTTATCAACAAATCATATAATTCACCAATACCACATGCTCGACAACATAACGACCTACCACATAAACATGCAAAAATCCACAACGGAGTCGTCAACTCCCCCACACTTAAAATAATGCAATGTCCCCATTGCATCAACACATAAATGAAATAAGAACAAAAACTGGGAATTCAAACAAGAAAAAGAAAGAGTGTGCAAACCGAAGTAGCCTCGAGGGAAATAAGCATTCACGTTCCAGCCTTCCGCCCCTGATTAACCGGTCCTCGATACGTCCTGCCAAGAAAACAAAACTCCACAAACTCTCATAGTTCAAAAATAAAATAAAAAGCACAAACAAAACACACAAGAAAGCAGTAAATCACTTGGGTTGCCTCCCAAGAAGCGCTTGTTTAACGTCATTAGCTTGACGAAACCTGTACAAATTAACTAGGATCCAAAAAGAAGTGTCGATCATGCCACGCCTTTGTATTCTCCAACAATAGTCCCGTTGGTAGTACGGAACAAAGGTGGGCAAAGTAGACTCTCGTGGCCGTGTTCTTGTGATTTCGAGCATGGATATCAACACCTATCAAGAAAAAATATAATTGTTTACGTACCATGGCCCTATGGTCGACCTCCGGAATTATGAACATGTCTGTGGAGCATATCGAATCCATCTCGTTCATCACCAACGCCATCTCGGACGTGTGCTCAATAATTTTAGTAGTCGGAAGCAAGTGCATGGATGCACCAAACTCCTCCAAATGTTCACCATCCTCGATAACATGCAATGACGACCCAAAAGACATGGGAACCACTGCGTACTCAACATCATGAGTCGAGTCATTCATCAATGCACACTCCGGGTCAATGACCTCATATAATGACTCGACGTCCTCCTCGACCTCATCCACGACATCATGAACTATCTTCTCCTCACAATCATCATCTCGAGCCCCTTCAGCTTCACTCAGCACAATCTGATCCTCCAATGAATTATTCCCCACACCATGCACCGTATCGTCCTCCGAATCCACACACTCGCTCTCATCGATAGCAATCGCACAATCATCGCAATGTAGGTTTGACGTGGTTTGCGATCCCGGGTCGTCATGAGAGAAGATTCTTCTAACATACAAATCACTGATGTCCTCTCTCGTGTCGAGAGATTGTGTTCCATCATAAACGAGAGTGAGGCCCGCCTCTTTGAGAGAAGCAAACTGTTCCACCATAGCTCGAAATTCACCCTCTAACCGTGCACTTTCTCGACATACTTTCGCTGATAGAGAAGAATATCTACCAAGCTGAATATGAGATGTGTCCAAGTCGAGGAAAGCAACTACGGTAGAGTCGAACTTCGTGAGTTGAGTTTGAAGTACGGATGGAACGGGAATGATCCTCCAATTATGAAAGTCCTCTATGATTGATAGGAGGCTCGCAAGTACCTCTTGTGTGTTCGTCAAAACCTCTTGGTGATAGTCGGGAGATGAAGGTTGGTAATAAGGCGTCTCGTAGTGATTTGGAGTGTAAGAATCGTATCCGCCTTGAGATGTCGTGTAAGAATGGCTCGCGTCATACTCTTGGGATGTAGAGTGTAACGCCCCAATCGATTTTTAAAGAAAATCCATGGCTTTTCCAAAAATCAAGGTAAAAATTTTCGAAACTTATTTTTCGAATCATAAATTTTTGACGTTACTCATTTCGTTCATAAATACAGTTCAAATCATAACTGAACTACGGGGATTCATTACCTGATTTTTCAACGGTTTTCATTAACCACAATAAACTATAAATTTAACATCAGATCATACTCAATCATATATCAAGTAGGGTTTTCAACATAAACCAAATCCAATGTTTTCAAAATAAACGAGTTTCAATACGCAATCCAACTTATTCCAAATACGCAACATAAGCAATGAAGTCAAACTAACATGAGTTCATAAAATGAGCGGAAGCAAATAAATAAATAATAATAAAAGACAAGACCACCACTCGCCCAGTCTCGTCACGCGCCGCTGCTTAACCTGCATCAGTTACGAGCAGGTGGGAGTGAGTACAGTTAAATATCGTACTCACACTATGCAATGCACATTTTATATTATGTCAAATTGGCATGGTCGCAGCATGAACACAAACAATACACATATGTCACATCTCCATCATAACATAAATACTCCTGTGCACATCTTTCATAATAGTCGCGGAAAGGGGATTCATTACCCTAACTGCGAGAGTACGTGCCACGCAAGGACACGACCTTTCATAATAGGTCTTTACGGAGACTTGCCTCATAAGGCAACCGTATTACATCGACGGGGACAACCATAACGATGGCCATCATAATAGCTCACATCGATAGGCTACATATTCACGTTCATACATAGATCACGCCAAAACGGAAACACATATTTAAACACACATTGCACAGATAATTTTATAATAATAACCCACTTGGAAATTTCAGATTGATGACAGCAAATCAGAAAAGATGTGGGTCGAGGCTTGACTCCTCAAACACCTACATTATGTCAAGATCCTACAATCAATAACTATCTTGACTTTAAACGGAAAACACAAAACAGACCTAGTCGAACTTGTTTCGACTAAGTAGTTCGTGAAGTTCTGTGGATGTTGGAACACTAAGACTCGGTACTAAACTCGACCAAACCACATAAGGGAGTCCATATAAATCCATCCAAGGATTGACCAAGACAAACTCACATCAAAACGAAAAGCAAGTCGATTCCCAACTTTCAATTCAAAATCATGTTTCGAGAATAGCAATCATTAATCACATGAAAAATAGATGGTCAAGCTACCCTACGACTTAGGCTCTGAAATTTTACCCAAAATTACATCTCCCAGAAACATGTAAAACCACAAATTTTCAGCTTCAAACTCGAAATACACTATTTTATAAAATTCGAACAAGATATCAGCAAAACCAAAACATAAATTTATTTCTGAACCTAATGAACGAATCAAGACTTGACAATTTAACATAACAACATACAGTATGCTAGAGTCAATGTGTAAAAATCTCAGCCCTTAATATTAACTGCTGCTATTTTTAAAAATTCATATGAGATTCAGCAATTTTTCAAATTTAAATCAACATCGAATCAAAATGGACTCCAAAAATTCCCATCTTTTAACATCATGATAATGCACATACAGTGAGCATCTCAGAAATGTTTTAGAATTTTTCAAGAAATAATCAATTTATAGAAATTCAAACAACTTTCAGCAGATTCAATAAATAATTTATTAGCCATACGAAACTAAGTTCAAAAATTCTAAAAGTTTAACACAACATATAAACATATCCGAGGCATAACATAATCAAATTTCAGCTCATTTGAAGCACAAACCAATTTACTAAGCATTTAACAAGATTCTGAATAGAAATCACATTATTAATTAAAAATAGCTACAGACCTTCAAAAATTATGAAAATTTTATAAGAGGCTGGAAATGGACAAAAGACATATTCCTCAAAATTTCAAATCATTCCGAGCAGTGTACGATTTTTAAAAATTCAAACACCGAAACAGCAACATATATGCTCGACAATTTAACATTTAATTCATAACACGAAATTTCTCGTCCGAGGCCTTCTCATAAGGCCAAGGACTCGATATTGTTCCAATATCCACCCACTTACATGACTTTCGAGGTCTTGCTCGATTCTTTAAATATCGAAGAGATCCCGAATACATGAACAACACATACAATCACGATTTTCACATAATTTCTTATCGAACATCGCAAGTATAATCACATCTCGCAAATCACACATATACGTAAATAACATAAACGATTTAAATGAGACGGGATCGACTAGGTACCGTTCTCGGAAAAAGCTAAAAAAAAACGAAACAAAAAGGTGAGGGGTGAGCTCGCGGTGGCTAACGGCGGTGCTCGGCGGCTTCGCTCGACTCGCGAAGGAGGTACAACGATGGAGAGAGGCTCGTTGCTGCTGCTAGGTCATGGCCAGAGGTCGGCGCTCGTTTGAGAAGGTCACCGGAGTTGCTGCAAATCGCGGCGAGGGGCGTCGTGGTCGCTGTTGGATGCTCCGACGCGGAGGGGACTGGTCGCGGCGTGGAGGGCTCCACAGCGGCGTGGCAGAGTTGCAGGCGCGGCGTGGAGGGGGCGCTGATTGCAGCGCAGGAGGTTGGTCGTCGGAAGGATCACCGACAGAGGTCCACGTCGGGTTGCTGAAGGTCGTCGGTGTTAGTTTCGCTGGCGGTTGAGCGTCGGCGATGATGGTGGCGATGGCGACGGTGTCGTCTCACGAGCAGAGCAGGGACGGAAGGGTGATGATGTCGAGATGTCGTGGCGAGGGAGGTGAGAGGAGGATGACGGAAAATTCGCAGAGGAGATGAGGTCGGCGATCGATACGAGAGAAGAAGAGAGGGTGAACAGATTTTGACGAGATCGGGAACAGAGAAAAATAAAGGCTGCGTATTGCTATCCACAGAGAAAAAAAAAGAACGATAGATACATATATACATATTGATATTAGGTTTGACTTGTCTTGCCAAGGACTTATTTGATTTTGGATCAAATAAATTGGAACTTTACACAATCATATGGGCCGGATTATGCCCGTGAGTTACAAAGACTCGGGCTGGGCGTGCGGTCCGGGTCGCAGGTTTAAAGGTTTTGAGTGGTTCTCGGCCTCGATTTAGCCAAATAATATCTCGGATCGATCGCTCGACGATAAAAAAAAAAAATCGGATTTATATATATTTAATACACAAAATATTTATTAATACACACTTAAGCATTTAATTTACAATTAGGCATTTAAATAAAATAATAATAACAATAATAAAAATAATAATAATAAAGACAATAATATTAAATAAAAAAAAATCTCAAATACTCCATAAACGAACGGGGCGCTACATAGAGTATCCGTCATAGCAATAGGAATTTGAATAGCTCGGATACGGATAGGGCGGTTCTCCATATGAGTGCATCTTCTCTTGGTAGTTGTCGGGGTATCCACGAGACGAGTTTCCGGCATAAGAATAGTCGTACGGGTCCATCGGAGCTCCGCAAGTAAAACACCTCGCACAAGAAAGGCAAACAACCAAGGCACACGAGACCAAGAAATATATATATATATATATAATTTTTTTTTATTTTTTTTTTACGATTTTTTCAAACAAAATAAAAACAAGAGAAATGGAAAATAACAAATCAAGAGAAACACTAAAATTAAACAAATATCACAACAACAAGAGAAATACGGAAAATAAGATAAACACCAAAACCTAATATCCTACTTGCCTTCCCCGACAACGGCGCCAAATTTGTTGTAGCAAATTATTTTTATTTTACCGAGCACCGAAACGAATGATTTGTTTCCCGGGTCGATCTCTCGAGGAAGGCGGTTCGGAATTTAGAATTGGTGTTGATAACACATAAAAGCAAAATAAATCCTACACATTCTAATCAAGATAGGATTGGTTTTTTTTTTATTATCAATTAAGAAAATAACAAAAGACAATAATCTAAATATAAACGATAAAAAGATACACGAGCTAGGGTATCAGGAATAATCGCTTCTGGTTCTACACACATTTAACGGCAATCAATAACTCGGTTAAATGGTTCGACTAACTAACCCATTTAGCGGTTTACCTCACTAACTCTCGTAATATTAGCATGAACATAAAAGAGCAAATTAACGAAACAATTAACACATAGACAATACGTCTCCGAACATGTCTACTCTTAACGAGCCAAATTCCACCAATTTCTCCCCTCTCAGTTTTGAAATCGATTAACTCTACGACTCCCCCCATATCGGTTCTAAAAGTCGATAATCATGTAGAATTAACAAACTCTAACTCAACAAATTATTTACTCACAAATCAAAGTGTCACTCTTTGATTATATCAACAATTAACCTAAGTGTCACTCTTAGGTTATAACCATTTATCGAGTATGATTTTATCAATTCCAAATTAAAACAACTCGTCAAGATTGAGCTATCGTCATGCACGTAAACGAGAACAAACTGGAATGATTATCCCTTAACCCTAGCTAAGGAATTAGCTTCTCATTGCAATTTGAGCACAAGCATTCACATTCAACCAAGCCATAATCATCATAAACTTAGTGAAAAGAGAACTTACTTGTAATGCGAACTCCAATGTCAAGAACAAATACAAGCCAAATCCAAAACACAACAAGTCTCCAAGGTGTTCCTTATTACAACATAAACAAAAGAAAACTTAAGAGAGAAAACGAAGAAGATGAAGAATGGTGTAGAGGGGGGAGAACCCCCATTGGTTCAAGGATGATGAATGGTTATACATGGTAATGGAGGATGTATTTATAGTGTTCACTCCATTTTTTTCAGATTTAGTGCCCCAAAACATGCCCAAAAATTGCCACTATCAAGCACTAACAAAACAAGCCATATTTTGAGGGAAAGGAAGAAATCTTTGTCTGCCAACAGGTGCTAGCGCCGCTAGGGGGGTTGCTAGCGGTGCTAGGGGGTGCTAGCGGCGCTAGGGTATGGGTGGCCGAGGCTCTGAAGTCCGCTAAGGGTAGCTAGCGGCGCTAGGGGGACTGGGTTGCATGACTTTGCGTTTCGGGCTCGTTTGGGCTCGTCCGAACTCGGAATTGAGTTCCGTTTTTTCCTATGTGTCGCTAACGAACTCCTCTATTCAATGATACTTGAATGGCCAAATTATTCTTGAAATAATATTCTCCCAAAGCTCTTGACCTACACATTGAACGTGTTTCGCGCGACTCCGGGTTTTGGACTCGTCCGGACTCGTTCGAACTCGAAATTGGATTCCGATTTTTTCTATGTGTAGCTAAGGAGCCCATCTATCCAACCATGATTTCCCGACCCGGTTTCGAGCTTAATCGATTCCTCACGGGGCTTCCGACCTGCACACTAAGAAGAAAAACGTAGAAAACCGACAAAATATACGAAAAAACACATAAAAAGCCAAAATAGAACAAAACACACAATAAACTATAAAATGAACTAAAAACTAACAAAAAGACCTAAAACGGGGGAAAAGGAACGACAAAATAGTACAGAAAAATGTAACAAAAATGGTCACAACAAGGGGAAGGAGATCCCCCTTGCGTGTAGCATAGTATCCACGGGTATCCGGCGCAAGAGGAGGCGCCAAAGGAACACCGAAATGGTGGGGGTGAAAAGGTCACTCCAGATGGCCCCGAAGAGAAGGTTAGGCCGATCCCTCAGCCTGATCTGCTCCCAAGCCGAGGTAGTAGTAAACACACGCGATGATGTAAGTCTCCACCTCATGCTATCTGAACCGTCCCCCAAGATAGGGATCTGCTGGATCTGATCTAATAACTGCTCGCTAAAACCCGCACCAGAGCCCAACTCCTTATCTACCTTCCTCCTATCCCACGACCCGTCCGTCCAGAGGTCGCTCACAAGCAGGTAGGAGGAATGCGACACATGCCTATCCCTAGACAATGACCTATCACCTACCCACCACTCATCTCAGAAACTAACATCGCCCTCGCCCAGAACCCAGAAGATGTGATCCTGGGAGCGCCTACCAACCCTAGTGAGGTGCCGCCACTGCCTACTATCATGATCAAAAGCCGTCACCCAACAAGGGTGGTTGGCACGTCTAGGGCAGTACTTTCCGCGAAGGTATTGAGCCCAAAGCGACTTTCTCTCCCTGAAGCGCCACCACAGCTTGTAGGAGAAAGCTGCAACAATGTCCCTGAGGCGGCGGATGCCAAGGCCACCCTCGGGTAGGGGGCGACAGATAGAGTCTCAACTCACCCAGTGGGTACATCTCCCCCTCCCAGAACTGTCCTCGTAACCCCAGAAATAACGAGCCATAATCTGGTCTATCTCGTCAAGAGTAGACCTAGGGGGTCGAGGACCATAAGCAAGTGAATCGGAAGAGAGCTAAGGGTGCTCTTGATCAGCGCAAGCCGACCACCGAAGGAAAGATGTCTATGCGACCAACCAGAGATCCTATCGATCATCCTCTGCCTAACGCCCGCAAAGAGCACTCTCGTGAGGTTATAAAGGGACACCAAGGTAGGAATAGGAAGGTCGCCACGCGAAAAGCCAGTAATGTCGTGGACCCGCTGAGCCCACCTATCCCCGCTGGAAGACAAGAGGGTGAAAGTGCTCTTCTGCACACTGACCAGCTGACCGGTGACCAAGCCATAGTGCTCCAGAAGGCGCATGAGCTCGACCAGTCTATCATCATTCGCCCGGGTGTAGATGATGATGTCATCCGCGTAAGAGAGGTGAGAGATGGGAGGACCATAGCCACGGGTGCTATAGGTCATATGAGGAGAGTCGCAGATGAAACCGTCAAGGCAGCGAGAGAGGTAGTCCGCCGCAAGAACGAAGAGTGAAGGGGACAGGGGGTCGCCCTGTCTAAGGCCTCTAGAGGAGGGAAAGAAGTCGGTGGGGCTGCCATTGACCAGGACCGAGAACGTGCAGTGCTCCACGCACGTCTCGACAAAACTGATCCAACGCTCAGAAAATCCCATCCTAGCCAGGGCCTCCCTAAAAAACAGCCACTCTACCCTATCATACGCCTTAGCCATATCTAGCTTCAGTGCGATATTCGGAGACCGCTTTCAATCTGCACGGGAGATGTCGTGGATCATCTCCTGGGCCAAAAGGATGTTATCACTAATGACCCGATCCTTGACGAATCCACTCTGGTTCGGAGAGATGAGGGAGGGGAGAAGAGGGGAAAGACGGCCGTTAAGAATCTTCGAAATGAGCTTGTTGGTCACGTTACACAGGCTGATGGGCCTGTAATCGGACCAAGAGCTCGGGTTGGATCTTTTGGCTTTCTTGTTGCTAGGTTAGTTGTCTGATGCTGTTAAATTAGTTGTCTTTTGTTGCTAGATTATTTCTTTCTTGTTGCTAGATTATTTCTTTCTTGCTGCTAGGTTAGTTGCCTTTTGTTGCTAGGTTAGTTCTTTCTCGCTGCTAGGTTAGTTGTCTTTTGTTGCTAGGTTAGTTGTCTTTTGTTGCTAGGTTAGTTGTGTTTTGTTGCTAGGTTAGTTTTCTGATGCTGCTAAGTTAGTTGTGTTTTGTTGTTAGTTTAGTTGTTCTTTCTTGCTGTTGTCTTTTGTTGTGCTGCTAGGTTGTTGTCTTTTGTTGCTAGGTTAGTTGTGTTTTGTTGCTAGGTTAGTTGTTGCTAAGTTAGTTAGTTTTCTTGCTGCTAGGTTAGTTGTCTTTTGTTGCTAGGTTAGTTTTCTGATGCTGCTAAGTTAGTTGTGTTTTGTTGTTAGTTTAGTTGTTCTTTGCTGCTAAGTTAGTTGTGTTTTGTTGCTAGGTTAGTTGTCTGATCCTGCTAAGTTAGTTGTGTTTTGTTGTTAGTTTAGTTGTTCTTTGCTGCTAAGTTAGTTGTGTTTTGTTGCTAGGTTAGTTGTCTGATCCTGCTAAGTTAGTTGTATTTGTTTTTATAAAAAAATTGTAACTCATAAGATTTGAACCTGGTACCTCATGCAGGTAAGACAAGCAATGCAACCACTACACCACTCAAGGTTGAGTGTCTTTTGTTTGCTAGGTTATTTATTTCAATGCAACGGGTTAACGCCGGAAGTCAACAGTCAACGCCAAAAGTCAACGATTCTCGTCGGAAGTCAACGCCGGAGTCAACTAATAATTATTTTATTATTTAATTAATGTATATTTTAATTGATTTTGATCTAGACAAAATGAGTGGCTAAGATTGAGTGTCACGTACTCATTTTAAGGAGTGGTCTCATTGGATCCGTCCCTATATATATATATATATATTTGGTGTGCGTGTGTTTGATTGTGTTTATATGTGTGTGCTGTGTGTGTATGCGTGTGTTTTGTGTGTGTTAGGTGTGTGGGTGGTGATGTGGCATAATGATGTGGGTGGTGATGTGTAATATTAATGTCTAAATTACCCTTAATGAGTCCAAGATTTTGATTTTTTTAGCCATTAGATCATCCGATCTAATGGATACGGTTTATTCTTATTAGCACCATTCTCATGAGAGCGTGACCCTATATACATATATAGATATAGATATCGATTTTCGGTTGGTTTGGTTAACTAATCACATACATTAAAACCGAACTGAAAATAGAAATTTGAAAAAATATTAAATCGAAACCAAAACCGAAACCGAATATTGGTTCAATATTTAATTTCAGTCGATTTAACTCAATTAACCGTATTTTGTAGGGATAAGTCTTCACTCTATATATTACTTTAGAATCTTAGATAAACTCAGTCGATCATTATTATGGTAAAACAGATAAATCTGGTATGTGGTCGAAGTCAAACACAGTTTCATCTTTAGGAAAAGCAACACGCAAATGAGAAAGTCACGCTCTTAACTTTTGATCATTATCATAAATTTGTCATTAACAATCCTGAGAAAAATCCACAAAACCACACGAAACGACCACGGGCAGGAGAGAGACCAAATAAAATACTAATAAGAACCATAAAAATGGTTCCTAGTTAGAAACTCTTGAATTTTCTCACAATCACCGGCGGCACCAACACTTTGACCAATAATGAATCGCCACCACCATCTCGGTAGATCCGTACTCTGCTCTCTACTGTTGCTGACCCTGCTTTTCTCCACTATCCCCGCCGAGGATGACGTCAGGTGCCTGCGCGAGGTGAGGAACTCCTTCCCCAACTCCGCCGGCCGGTTCGACTCTTGGAACTTCGCCAACACCTCCGTCGGCTTCATCTGCACCTTCAGTGGCGTCTCTTGCTGGAACGACCGCGAGAACCGCCTGATCGGCCTGGACCTCCGCGATTTAGCCCTCACCGGAGACATCCCGGACTCCCTGCAGTTCTGCCACAGCCTCCAAACCCTAGATCTCTCCGGCAACTCCCTATCGGGCCAGATTCCCTCGCGAATCTGCGATTGGCTGCCGTATCTGACCACCCTCGACCTGTCGCGAAACGGTTTGACCGGCAGCATACCGGCGGATCTCGCCAGCTGCTTGTATCTTAACACCTTAATCCTCGACGACAACGACTTGTCCGGCGGCATCCCTTATCAGTTCTCGAATTTGGGGCGGCTGAGGCGGTTTTCCGTCGCGAACAATGACTTGTCCGGGAGGGTGCCGTCCTTCAGCGGCGGCTCTGTGGTGGTCGATTTCGACGGCAACAGCGGGCTCTGCGGGGGCTCGCTGGGTGAGTGCGGCGGGCTGAGCAGGAGAAGCCTGGCCATAATTATAGCCGCTGGTGTTGTTGGTGCTGCAGCCTCCTTGCTGTTAGGGTTTGGTTTGTGGCGATGCTATTTCTCAAAATCGAGCAAGAGGAGAAAGAGGAGTTCCACTTCCGGGGTTGGAAATGGTGCTGCTGCTTCTGCTGGTGGCAGTAGCTGGGCTGTGAGGCTGAGGGCTCACAAGCTCACACAGGTGAACTTGTTCCAGAAGCCCCTCAAGAAGGTCAAATTAGGCGATTTGCTGGAATCCACCAATAATTTCGGGAAGGAGAATATTATCGTCTCGAGTCGAACAGGAATGACCTACAAGGCGATTCTTCCCGACGGTTCAGCCCTTGCAATCAAGCGGCTGAGTGAATGCAAATTAGGGGAAAAAGAATTCAAAACAGAGATTAATCGGTTAGGCCAGTTGAGGCACCCAAACTTGGTCCCGCTCTTGGGCTTCTGCCTGGTGGAAGACGAGAAGCTGCTCGTCTACAAACACCTCTCGAACGGGACACTATTCTCGATCCTTTGTCAGGACACCGCCATTTTAGATTGGCCAACAAGGTTCAAAATCGCATTAGGAGCCTCAAGGGGACTTGCTTGGCTTCACCACGGCTGCCAGCCCCCGATCATGCACCAAAACATAAGTTCCAATATGGTTTTGCTTGATGAGGACTTTGATCCAAGAATAATGGACTTTGGCCTGGCTAGGCTAATCACGTCTTTTGATTCTAAGGAGAGTAGCTTTCGCTGTGGGGACTTGGGGGAGGTCGGGTACGTTCCGCCCGAGTATTCTAGCACGATGGTTGCGTCACTTAAAGGAGACGTTTACAGTTTTGGGGTCGTGCTTCTTGAGCTGGCGACTGGGCTGAAGCCCCTGGATGTGAGTAAGGTGGATGGGCTGTTTAAGGGTAGTTTGGTGGATTGGTTTACGCAGGTCTCGGGTAGTGGCAGGATTAAGGATACTATTGATAGGCGGCTGTTGGGGATGGGTCACGATGAGGAGATTGTGCGGTTTTTGAGGATTGCGTGTAATTGTGTGGTGTCGAGGCCCAAGGACAGGTGGTCCATGTATCAGGTTTATGAGGCTTTGAAGGGTATGGCTGAGGAGCATGGATTCTCGGAACATGATGATGAGTTCCCTTTGTTTTCGACGCAGGAGTCACCGGGCCCTGTTTGAAATGGCTGTGTTCTTTGCCAAGGTTGTTTGGCATGTTGTTGGTTGGTTATTGTTATGGTGAAATTGCTTGATATTTGCCTGATGTAGGTTTGTAATTTACTCTGAGGATGTTTTGTACTTTGGATTCTCTCTGGTTTTTATTGTAATTTGTATTTATTTATTTATTTTTTTTTTTTAACGAAACGATAGAGAATATTAAAAATCAAAACGCACATATGTGCAAAGTACACAGCCCTTAGCTGAATAGTACTGAAAAACTAGAAGGACAGGTCAGAAAATCGCTTATAACCCGACTAGCAACGCTAGAAAACAAATTCTAAACAACACAACACAAAGACCCAACGAAAACGACCCCCAACGGGGTAAGGTGCAACGGGGTAAGGTGGAACGACCCCCAACGAAGTAAGGTGGAACGACCCCAACGGAGTAATTCCCGCTCACATGCGAGCCCAAAGGGGCCAACGGCCCAAACCAAAAACACCCAAACAACACAAAACAAGCAACACCGAAACAAACTATACAAAATTACGAAAACGAAGATAACTAAAATTAGCAAAGAGCCTTCTGCAGCAAATCTACTGAACAAACAGTCGACTCTAAGGAAACATCCATAGCTCGGGAAACCGCCGAAACTGTCGAAAGGCTTATCTGAAGCAGAAACCCACGCCCCGGACCAACCTGTGAGCAAACCCTCCCCTTCACACGAGGCAAGAGAAACCCAAACTCAACCCACGACACCGCTGCCTCAAACTGGCTAACACCACTAGCCAAAACCGGAAGCACCAGTCTCTCCCGAACTCAACACCAGAGACACAGAGGAAAAGGGATTGAAAGGGTACCTCTGCCCGTACGAAACAAGAAGTACCAGCAGCCACCCGACCATCCATATTAGAGAAGAACTCAGTCCCAGAAGAAGCTCCCGGAACTGCCTGCGGAGGCCTAGCGGAAGCCGCGCCCGAGAACTTCAACCCACTCCAACAAGATGACCCGCTCTACGACCGGAGGAGTAGCATACTTCTCCACTCCCACCACCTACGTCGGCTCGGATTCGACCAACACCACTAGCCTAATCCGACCGCGCCGGTGACCCCTTGAACCCAACCCCAGAAGAAACAGAGGGAAAAGGGCGAGGAAGACGCCACTCCTCAACCCCGGCCACCCCGACACCAACATCGAGAGCAGCCCGAGCCACGCCCAGCCTCAACAATACACCCTACCCAGCGCTCCCACAACTTCAAGTAAGCTGACGGAATAGAAACGGAGACGTTACCTGAAAACGGCAGAGCCGTCGCCAACTCCGTCTTCATCCCCCAAAGCGTCGCAGGCTAGGATAGAAACAAAAATTGGGACCAGGACATCAGCCTAGGGCCGACCACTGGTGAGGAGTTCGGCAACCGGCTGAGAAAGGCAGCAACTTTGTCTGAGGAAGAAGGATTCAAGCGGCGAAAATTGGGGATTAGGTTTTTTCGGCAGAGCGGCTTTTACTTTTTATTTTTATCCGGTAGTTCGGGTTTTGTGTTGTGTGTGCAGTTATTGAAATTTGTTCGTATGGAGAAATTATAGAAACTTTTTAAGACATTTTAGAACTTCTAAAATTTTGGATAGATATTTAATTGAAATTTTTGAGACTTCTAAAAAATCCATTTGTATTCATTTGAGATACTTAAATACTTTTTTATAATTTTTTAGAAAGTTTCAAGATATTCAATTGAAACCTTATAAATGTCTCGATAATACGATATTCAAGGTAGGAAGATTTTATGAGACTTTTTAAATTTGAAAACTTTGGACATTTTTTAATAAATTTACGAACACAATTCACTAGATCGTCAACGTCGCTGGAGAACCGTCGTTGTCGGAGAAAGTCGTCGTAGAACCTTTCTGTTGTTGCTGGGTCGACGACTTGTTGTGTTGTCGCTTATAAACTGGGACGTCGAGGTTGCTGTCCACACCTAGGCCTTGCCCGTGGCCTGCAGATGTCGCGTAGGTGTAGCTTGTGCATGGCGTGTCGCGCACGTCTCGCGCGACATTGTCAAACGTCGCCGAGCCATGCACGCATGGGTTTACATGATTGATCTAAGGACATCCACAATCCTATAATTCATTCAATAAAAAATTTACACTCTCTAATCCACATAATCTCCACATCATCTTTCCACTAAACCTCTCTCAATTTAAACACACACACACACACACACACAAAACATTCTTATCCATTCATGTAAGTACATATGTGGGTCCCATTATCCACCCATTCAATATAAATTTTAATCTTCTATTCTCAATAAAAATAAAAATTTAATAATAATTTTTAAATGCATGAAATAAAAGAACACTACAAGACCAAATTAACTTAAACTAAGACTACACGTGAAAAAAGTAGTAGAATTAAAAAAAAAATTATCTTTTTAGTTGATGGCAAAATGAGTCCAAATATGCTCAACTAAGGCGGCACGAAGTTGATGATGCATTGTGTTATCTCGTATCTCTTAACTTCTACGAATATAATTTTGAAATTCTCGATTTGAATCCTGAACAGGTTGTGCGGGCTCTTCATCCTCGTCATTGTGCCAATGTGTTACTACATCTCCTTCATTTTCAACAATCATATTGTGTAGAATAATGCATGTCAACATAATAAATTTCAGTTTTCTTTTATACCAAAACCGAGCAGGACCTTTTACAATTGCCCATCGAGACTGAAGCTCCCCAAATGCTCTTTCCATATCCTTTCGACCAGCTTATTGTTTTTCTTTAAATAACTTTCTTTTAGGATCAAATGGGCAAGGAAAAAACTTTACGAACGTAGCCCACTCTAGATATATTCTATATGTAAGATAATACCCATTTGCATATTGCGTGCCGTTGACAATAAAATGAACGTTTGGTGCATTTCCTTGAAATACATTATTAAATAGAGAAGATTCATATAATACATTGATATGGTTACGTGATCCTGCAACACTAAAAAAGGCATGCCATATCCCCAAATCGTGTGAAGCACCCATACCCTCTTGTGAATTGGCCTTTCCAAGCAACTGGACAAATTTTTTATTCTCAGTGCATACAATCAAGGCTTCCAAGCATAGTCGAAAAACCGTGATTTTCTTCATGCATTTGGAGGAGTCTTTGAACATTGCTAGTGTTCGGTCTTCTCAAATATACATCACCAAGAATTTGAACCACACTTTCACAAAATTTAAAAAGACATTCGAAAGGTGGTTGATTCACCCATACATGAATACTCATCAAGGTGGTCAGCTGGAACTCCATAAGCCAACTGACGAATAGCTGTTGTGCATTTTTTAAGTGGTGACAAACTTTGTCTTCCTACTGCATCAATGTTTTGCTGGAAAAATGATGATCATGTTTGAAGTGCATTCACAATTCGAAGAAATAATTCTCTTCGCATACAAAAACGTCTATGAAATATATGATCCGGGTAGGGTGGATGGTCAAGAAATAATCACTTACAAGTTTGTCATGCCTAACTTCACGATTTCTCTGGATGAACCTTCTTCTTCTACGAACTTCAATTTCATGTTGATATGCTTGAAGTAACTCATGGCTTCGTTGAACAATGGATGAAATAATTTTAACTTCTAAATCATTAGTGTCATCACCATCTTCACTATCGGTGGATGATGAAGAATTAGACTCGGATCCATATGAATTTTGAGACATTTTTGGAGGATTCTAATTGAATTTAAAGTGTGTAACTATGGTTTATAGAATGAGAAAGTTTGCTTTGAATATATACATATCAACATATATGTATATTGAACCATGCGTTATTATGGACAGTTATTGCATACCGTTGTCATTCATGGCCCATACTTTATTTTCTGACACATTAATTGAGTTATCAAATTGATAAGCGTGTCACAACCCATGTCTTATCCTCTGATATATTTATCTATGCCAGCAAATTGATTAACGTTTCATAGCCATATCTTATCTTCTGATATATTATTTTGACCAGCAAATTGATTATTACAGACAACTATTGCATATAGCATTCATTCATGGCCCATGCATTATTTTCTGACACATTAATTGAGTTACCAAAATGATAAGCGTGCCACAGCCCATGCCTTATCTTTTGACATGTTTATTTGTGCCAACAAATTGTGTAACTTTTCATGGCCATTCTTATCTTCTAACATATTTATTTTGACCAACAAATTGATGATTATATACAACTATTGCATACAGCTGTCATTCATAACCCATACATTATTTTCTGATACATTAATTGAGTTATCAAATTGATGGTAATTAATGATTAGAAAGTTCAAAGAGAGAAAAAGTATATTAGTCATATATTACCCCTTATATCAGTGGTTATCGTGTTGCCCAATAACCTTATCTCTTTCTGACTAAGATCCTTATCTCTTGCTGAGTAAGAACTTTATTATCACTTGTTGCTCAAGAACCGTAGTTGCCTAAGAATTGCTCTCCAAGATCTGTTTGTATATGACATGTTCATACTATTCATTATCTGACTATGTTTGACAATATTATGTTCACACTGTTCCTATATGATCGTGTTCACACACTGTCCATATAAGAACGTGTTCACAAACGACTCTAAAGATCTTTAGGTCTTCTCTATAGGTCCTTCTGGTGAGCTCTATAGGTCTTCTAAGTCATCAGCTCACTGAACCTTTAAATCTATAAGCAGGTTGACCCATGCATGACCAACTGGGAAGCTCGATCATCTTCGATTTGTCCAACTTAGTTCCCCAACCAGGACCAATCCTGAAATTGTCGATCTACGCAACACGCTCGCTCATGAGGTGATGATATGAGTATAGCCGAGCTGTGGCTATATCAATGACCAAGCCAGCTAGTTTGAAATTCTTCACTAGTCTAAAATATAAGGCTTCCCCTCATGCATGTGGTTCAATGCATATGCCATCAGCTGTGTAGGATTTTTAAGATCAAACCATGTGTAGTCATTCTACGTAGTGTGAGAGTGAGGCACTCAATTGAGACTGCAAGACTTTCTCTTACATGTACATATAAATGCAATTCGTTAAAAGCTAGTCGTATTTGTTTTTATGCAAAAACTCAAAGCTGAAAATGTAGCTCTACATTTTCTTTACAATATGCTTTTACATTTTCTCTCTCACCAGTGTACGATATTATATAACTAGTTGTTTCTCTCTCTTCAACAACAATACTTTGTCCTCTTTCTACCTCTGCCTGAGGGAATAAAAACCAGATGTGTGTTTACTTCCTCGTCTCCATAGCCTGCTCCTCCTACAAAGGAATTATCGGCGATGGTGCCGGTGCTGCCAATCGTTGCTCCTGCGGGACCACATTCAAGTTGCCCTGTTTAGGGAGTGGTCTGTGGACGGTGCAAGCCGATTGGGTAGTATTGATGGTGGCTAGTGGCTCCAGTAGCCGTACCGCGTGATTGTATCTCGAGAAAAAAAAAGTGGATCTGGTTCTGTATAGCCGATAGTCGCCTAATGTGTCAAAGTGTTGGAGTTTCAGATCTTTGTTTCTTGCTTATATGGTATGTTTTCCCTTTCGAGTGGTCGTCTTTGGGTGTCGGCTCATTCTCTTGGTAGTGGTGCCGGTGCCTTGTGTGTTGGAAGACGGGAAGGGTTGTAATCTTTTTAGTATATTTGTTTATTCTTATTGTTGTGTCGTATTATGTTGCTTTATGTTTTTTTAGCCTTATTGTTTGGTCATTTTGTTTTAGTGTAGTGTTTAGTTAGTGTTGTGTAGACCAAACTTCTGTGAAGTTGTTTGTTCAGTCTAGGGCGAAGATCAGAAGATTAGCCTTTTTCTATGCCATTTTGGCAGATTACGCTTCGTTCGTATGGATTTAGTTTCGTTTGTTTTTTATTATTTTAAGTCTTATTGGGTTTCCCTTTCCTAATTGAATTTCTACTTTTAAGTTTGGGCCCAAGTTTAGCTCAAGTGGACATCAGACTTTTGTAATTTAATTTGGTTTTGATGTATAATACTATTNTAAAAAAGAAAAACGTACAGTATTATATGAACATTTGACCAATAGAAATGTAACAGTAATCACTACAAGAAAATGATGAAATTTCAACGGAAATACATTCTAATAGAATTATTCGAACGGCAATTCCAATGGATATTTCAATACGTTATTTCCGTTGGAATTTTTCAATGGATTCCAAAAATTCCAACAAAAATATTCTGTTGGAATGAGTTTTCCATTGGAATTTCCGTTGGATTTTGACGATTCCAACGGTGGATTTTCCAACGGAGGTGGAAATAAAAATTCCAACGAAAATTACATATTCCAACGGAAATTCATACGGTAAAAACTCGTTGGAAATATAGTGTTGGAATCATCAAATTCCATCTAAAATTCCAATAAAAAAATATTCCAACGGAATATTTCCGTTGGAATGCTATAGCATTGGAATATCCGTTGGAATTTTCATTGAAATATATTATCATAGGATTTTTCGTTCGAATATAACAATTTTTTTGTAATGAATGTGTTATTTTATAATCTAACGTAGCGAATCGAAAATGAGTACCGACTGACTTAGTTAAAAAAAAAATCTTTCATTTAGAATAGCATCTTGTCATAGATACATGATTGTACGCTACACCATAAGTTGCTTTAGGTAACATGGTCATTGTAACATTTTTAATTTTTTGAATTTATGTAGCATATTATTGTAACACTTTTTGTTTTATAAAATTTTGCATCACTTTAGTAACACTTTAGTAATATGTAATATTTTTATGTAGCATTTTTTAAATAAGTGACACTATATATGTGTAATACTTTTTGTAGTTACTATTTTATAACACAATGTAGCATCAATTTAGTAACACTTTAGTAATATGTAATATTTTTATGTAGCATTTTTGAATAAGTGACACTATATGTGTAATACTTTTTGTTACTATTTTATAACACAATTTAGCATATTTTTCATTAAAAATATATTCTTTTATATTTTTTTTTCATGCAACACTTTTAGAAATTATGATTTGTAACTCATCAACAGTAATATTTTATCTAGTAGATTTGTTATTTAACACAAAAAAGAATAGGTATAAGAAAAATGAAATATTTCTTTAAATGGGTTAATTAGGCTTTGAAACATTTCTTAGATTGGTCTCCAACTCCAAGCAGCCATTCGGTCAAAGAGAAAAAACCAACACAAACAAAATGCACTCAGCCTTTTGGTTTCATGAGCGGCCGTCCTTCCCAGTTTCATTTTTTTTTTTAATTTCCTATTTAAATTAAAAGATTGTAAAAGACGTTTGGAATCCCACTTAAACTAGAGGTTTATCATCGGTCCAGAGTCAAGAGAGACAGAGCAAAGTTTAACTCAGAGGCTACCTCATATTTGAGTTTGCAGAGTGCAAAAAGACATAAATTTATTCTCGTTGTCGCTCGGCACTTGACAGGTCTTCATTCTCATCGCTGAACCACCGTCCCCATCCGCATTCAGGGGTATGATGTTTGGTTCTATACTGTTATCATGGTGTGTGATGGATATAACATAAACATGTATTCAATATGTTTGATGAAATTCCAAAAAGAAAATAAGATATTTAATCTATTTTTAGGCCCCACCTAGGCATTCTAGATGCTCGTCGAGTGCTTATCAGGCACCTGGGGACTTCTAATACACTGCTTTATTCTCATCCATTTCTTATTTTTGTGATAAAATATATCTTATTTTGAAACAACTTATATTTCTTATATTTATTATTCAATTTATAACTAAGTAGTCCAGTTATTTTGTTTGACTGTAAATTTAGAAATTTCTTTGATATCATCTACCTTTTACTTGCATAATATAATCTCATGCTATGTGGTGTATTTTTTTATTCAGATTTTAATGGATAATCAAGCAAATCAATGGTTCAATTTCGCACGATCTAGCAGTGAGTACGTTACTGGAGTGGAGGATTATCTAGAATTTTCATTTTCTACTCGAGCTCAGGGAGATCAAATCACTTGCCCATGATATAGCCATACTTGTGAACCGGAGTAAAAAATGAAGAGGTCCAAGAGAAACCAAAGAAGAGCAACTTGAGGAGGTCTAGACGAGGCTTGAAGGTCTCGGCGACTAAGTATGGAAAGTAGACATGCTCTCGGTGACTGAGTATGAGAAGCTTCACACGACTAAGTATGGGAAGTAGACATGCTCTCGGTGACTGAGTATGAGAAGCTCCACACGACTAAGTATAGGAAGTAGACATGCTCTCGGTGACTGAGTATGAGAAGCTCCACACGACTAAGTATGAGAAGTAGACATGCTCTCTGTGACTGAGTATGAGAAGCTCCACACGACTAAGTATGGGAAGTAGACATGCTCTCTGCGACTGAGTATGAGAAGCTTCACACGACTAAGTATGGGAAGCAGACATGCTGTCTGTGACTGAATATGAGAAGGTTGAGCTGCTCTAAGAAGATAAGTAGATGTCATCTCGACCTGCTAGTCTTGCCAGAGGTCATCTCAACCTGCTAGACCTGCTAGAGGTCGTCTCGACTTGCTAGACTCGTCTCGACCTGCTAGACTTGCGAGAGGTCATCTCGTCTCGACCTGTTAGAGGTCATCTCGTCTCGACTAGACGAGAGCAGCTAGAGCTCATCTCCGCTACTAGACGTCTCCGTGACTAGAGATCTCCGCTACTAGACCTCCCCGCTACTAGACGTCTCTATG